GTGTCAGGCTGATGTTCGCGCGAATCGGGACGCTTTGACACAACTTGAGACTTTTGGCCGTGCGATATTTCACGCCTAGTCAAATGCCTGGTCGTGCAAATCGCACAGGAAATCTGTATGATACATCGACGAGTTTTTAATCCTAGGATGGATACATGTGTGTTATTCATCACACTCGCAATTGTGCTATTATTTATAATCTATTAGTATGATTTATTGTTGTTGTTTGATGTTATGATTATTATGATATATAATAATAATATTATATATAGGTATATTATATACTAGGTTGTTCGCACATGCAAGAAAATATCAGCGATTACTCGACTTACTTTCCTGCTTTCAATTAATGTTCCGTTCATTTTACACTGAGAAAAAATATTTAAAGATTAACAAATATTTATTAGGAAAGTACCATTAACATATTTGCTTAAATCAAAATTCTCTTCATTTAAACCGAGTATTGTTTGCTTAAATCGAGTAAGTAATATTCGATTTAAATGAAAAGAATTGTTATTTAAATAAATAATGATACCCGTCTAATAAATATTTATTAATTTTTAGATATTTTTTTCTTAGTGTAGGGTTAATCAAAAATCTGTAAACACGTACACAAGAATAAATAAAAAATAAAAGGCTCTTTGATATTTAATAATAATAATAAGTAAGGGACAAAATAGGAGCCTATAGGAGTTTGTGCACGGATTATATGGCACAATAAATTAAAAAAATCGATTTAAATTTTTATCAAGTAAAGAGACAGAGTTACGTGTCAATAAATATAATAGAATGTAATTCTCTTTATTTATTGGTGGTAATAGAAATTGATTATTTCCTAGTTTATTATGCTATATAATCCGTCCATAGGCTGTTCTCTACTAGACTCTTTTGTTTTCTATTTGCTGATATAAAATTCACGCGAAATTAAGCACGCTAAACTCACAGCAACTTAGCGCTAAACAACACAGCAACTGTATCTAAGCCGAGCACTAAGCGACAATTTAGCAGAATAATGAAAAACGAGAAATCTTCATCGATTGTTATAGCCGGTGCGACAGATTTATTAATATTGTTTATTGTCGGAATGAGCTCAAAATGCTCGCTCTCTAACCACGACTAATTCATGAGTCGGACAATATGCTGCGCCACGACGGCGGAGATCGCATTTGGCGCGGCGATTAATTATCCCAGTCGGCGCTGTGCGAATTTTCCTACCGACTAGAGCTTTCCATTACGTACGTGCCTGATCCCCGGCTTATAGATTTTTCTTTTTCTCTCTTTTTCTCTCTTTCTCTCTTCTCCTCTTCCTCACCTCTCGTTCTCTCTTCCTCTTTCATAGAGCGCTGAACGAAAAGCAATCAATTATCTGGTGCGAGATCGCCGATGACGAGATTTTCACGTTAGCGTGCGTTAACGTCTGTACTATTCCAATCTATTTCTCGAGTTTTTTTTTTGTAATTTTCTAGAATCTAATTGGGATCTATACCAATTTTCTAAAAAAAAAAAAAAGAAAAAAATATGACCGATTAAGAAATCTAGAAAGATTCAGATTAGAAATGTAATGTTTTTAAAATGTGATTTCAAAGGAACTCAATCATATTCCACTTTTTTACCGAACTTTTTTACAAAATTCATTTCTTTCGATTTCTATTTTATATTTACGTCGAATAAAATATCTAAAACACTTTGAATATTTACGCATGTACATTTTGCAGATATAAATACTTAAAAAGCATAAATTCTCAGACTGTTTGAAATATACTTCTCCTATTTCTATAATATTCTTCTATTTTTAAAAGAAATTATAAATATCATGAATAAACAATGTTATATTTTTACTTTTACATAAAACTTTAACAATTAAATATTCAAGTGTATTATAATTATTTACAATTAACAATCGTTAAGTTATAAGAATTATTATACAACGACCTATGTTTAAGAAAGAATAAAACTTATATTTCTATAAATCATAATTATGAAAGTACTAATTATTATTCTGTGTTTCCTCTCTTTCTTTCAATCTTTTTATACAACTTTTCTTCTACCTTTAGGTTCCCCACTTAGAATCGCAACTTCAATTATTTGTAAACAAGAAAATATTTTGTTGGTTCAGGTAGAATTCTGAATGTCACAGTTAAAATTTATTACTTGTTTGTATCTGTCAGAAAATTGCTTGTGGTACGTAGAATAAAATATTTACATTTTAGTAGCAGCATTGTAGCAATATCTGTAAGCAAATATAGGTGAGGTTTATTTGTCTGTCTTTCGCAACTAGTCTTTTTATCTACTACAGTCGATTTTGATAAGACGTGATGGTAAATATATAGAAAACTGGTGCCACCTCCGATGGGCTTGATCTTGACATATGTTATAAAAGTCATTCTGAGTGACCTTCTGAAGGTTTTAGCCAACGCTCGTTTTTTGTTAAAAAGCTATTAACAAAAGAAGTTGTATCAAATAAATGTAATTTTTTAACAATGTATACAGGGTGTCCCATTTTAACCGATCACTTAAAATATCTTTTGAACAGTACATTTTAGGGAAAAATGTTTCAGATAAAAGTTTTGGGAGGACATAAGAAGATATCATTGGTTTGACCTCGAGTGGCGTCGTCAAGATCAGGACAAGGTCACTTTGAATTTTTTAAATGGAATCCCCCATTTTTCATTACATATTCTTATAGCATACCTCGAGAGCTTTCCAAAACACTATACAATATTTTTTCATTAAATATCTTTCGAGTTAAAAGGCTTCAAAGTTACAATATTGTTGCCATTAGCATTGGTACCCAAGGTGTTCGACCGACGGTTAAAACCTTTTGAATATTGTTCAGGGCCATGACCTTGACAAATGTTGTCAACATTTGTCAAGGTCAAGGCGATTGGAGGCTGTTCCTAATATTTTCATTCCTTCAAATTTTATAGTGAAAACGAAAATAATAATTTAAAATCATAGGGTAACATGTGGAGTCCGATTGACTCTAAAGGATCATATGAAGATCACAATGCTTCGTCGGGGCCACAAAGAAGCACACATGTGAAATCCCATTAATAAATTTCTTTAATAATCATAGCTCGTGTCATTCACTTGTCCGCATTGTTGCTAATCCAACCGTAGGGCGGAATCTCGTAGCGAATTCAATATTTTCAGTGTTTTCACAAGTTTTTCTATTGTCCTGTAATTATGGCTGATTACCCGCCTAACGAAATCGTGGATATGATCAGAATTTTAGGTGAGGCAAGGAATAATTATACGACAGTTAAAAGGATTTATGCCGAAACATTTCCGGATAGACGTCATCTTAATAGGACGGTAATTAAAAGACTATGTGAAAGGGCACAACAAGGCACTCTCAAACGAATACGTCGAAAATCACAATTTACATTGTAAAATTTAAAGAAATGAAAATATTAGGAACAGCCTCCAATCGCCTTGGCCTTGACAAATGTTGTCAAGGTCATGGCCCTGAACAACATTTAAAAGGTTTTAGCCGTCGATCGAACACCTTGAGTACCAATGCTAATGGTAACGATATTGTAACTTTGAAGTCTTTTAACTCGAAAGATACTTAATGAAAAAATATTTTATTATAGTGTTTTGGAAAGCTCTCGAAGTATGCTATAAGAATATGTAATGAAAACTGGGGAGTTCCATTTAAAAAATTCAAAGTGACCTTGTCCTGAGCTTGACGACGCCACTCGAGGTCAAACCAATGATATCATCTTATGTCCTCCTCGAAATCCCAAAACTTTTATCTGAAACATTTTTCCCTAAAATGCACTGTTCAAGAGATATTTGAGGTGATCGATTAAAATGGAACACCCTGTATACAAAAACATCGAATTTGTACGCTAGGAAGGTGCCTGCTACACACACACACACACACACACTGCTCGCCAGCTCGCGGTGGGTGCGTATGTTCCTATTATATGCGGGGTGTCCGGTAATTGATCGAGCAACCGCCGTGTACGGGTAGAACGGGTCAAAATAATCATAAAAGTTATATACCATTTTGAAATTTTCTCAATATTTATTTCGTAATTAATTAAAATGTATAAACAAATCAGTGCACGAGAAACGGTAGGACAGGCTCTGTATGTAAAAGAAATGGCTTACCTCTTAGCAACGATGAGTAAACAGCTGATTTCGAGGCGGAGTAACGTATATGTGTCGCTTGTTACTCCGCCTCGAAATCAGCTGTTTACTCATCGTTGCTAAGAGGTAAGCCATTTCTTTTACACAGAGAGATTTGGTTGTATCAAATAAACGCTTCTTTGGAATAGTCCAAACGAATTTTTCGATTGATCAAACAAAATCTTATTTGAAGCAACAAAAATATTTATTTGCGGCTTAGTTCCAAAGAAATATTTTTGTTGTGTCAACCAAATAATTCGTTTGGACTATTTCAAAGAAACATTTATATGAATCAATAAATCGTTCTCTCTGTATACACAGAGCCTGTCCTACCGCTTCTCGTGCTCATTCGTTTGTACATTTTAATTAATTACGGAATAAATATTGAGAAAATTTCAAAATGGTATATAACTTTTATGACTATTTTGACCCGTTCTACCCGTACACGGCGGTTGCTCGATCAGTTACCGGACACCCTGTATATATATTCACCGCAAGCCTGCCTTGTCGGTTGGGCGAGCGCGCTTGCTAGCGAGCAGTGTGTGTGTGTGTGTGTGTGTAGCAGGCACCTTCCTAGCGTACAAAATCGATAATTTCGTATATACGGTGTCCAAAAATTACATTAATTTTTTGCAACTTCTTTTGTTAATAACTTTTTAATGAACAATGAGCGACACTGTTACGAATATGTACACGCCGGCCTCGGGCGGCCTCGCGGCGTTTGCGTGTACATATTCCTATTATATTTGAAGTTTTATAAATAGAGAGGGAATGCGAGGGAACGTTTTTACATATTCATTGCTTTTTTTAAAGAAAAAATACATGAAATATATGATCAAATACTTTATTGAAGAATTAAAGAATATAATTTATAATTAGAATGAATTATACGTAATAAAATGTAGAAACCATTATTATAAGCAAATTCGTGGAAGGAAAAAGCAATGGAAAACATGTTCTGATTATGTGATTATTCACGTTTTGGTTTAAAAAAATGTGCCATTATATTGAAAAACTCATCAATACGTTGCTTTAGTGGATACCTCTTTTTAAACATAAATTCGGCTAAATAGTTTACATAACGTCCTTTGCATGTGCCATATCGAGGTGTTACACTTTTTACATCTCTTCAAAGTCGTTCGATGTTTTACGTATGCGTTCCTGTGTGCGGATCAACAAAATGTTCTCTAATAGTTTTATGGATATAATTTTCGTATCGTAAAGCATTGTAAATTCGCCAACTGTCACTATAAATAATGCTGCCAGGTGCAATGTGACGTCGAATAATAGGTATCAGTGTTTCAGATTTTCTATTCTTTACTGATATTATGAAAAATTTTTTCGTCTCTCGCTCAATTCTTCCAAATATCCACTGTCCTGTAATGAGATGTCCTTTATGATATTTTCTATGACCAATTTTTACCTCATTGATCTTCACTATTTTATTTGAACCGCCTAGTTGCACGTCATTGTCGTAAATCCACTGTGCCATTAACTGTTAGATTAATCGTAAAATTCATTCAATTAATCAATGAGCAAACTGATAAGCAACTGTAGGTTGTACAAATACTTACTTTACGACAGAAATTCGTCCAGTCTACAGCTATCACAATAGATATATTACATTCTGTCATCAACAGTCGGATACTTGGCGAATTAATCATTAGAAAATATCCAATTAATCGATAGGCTGTCACTAAACTAATATGAGCTCGTGCAAACCACGATGATTGCAAAACACTCGTTTTAAAGTAATATGTCTTCCGTTGCTTTTTTCTTCCATAAATTTGCTTCTAATAGTGGTTTCCACATTGCATCACGTACGATTCATTGTAATTGTAAATATATTGTAATTATTTTGTTGCCACGCCGAGGACATTGAATTTCTGTACATATCACATTCTTGTTCTTTAAGTAATTAACTAGATTTCCGAAATTATATGTTAAGTAGATAAATTCTTGCAATAACATAACAGTACGAAATGAGATTCCACACTGATAGAATAGGAGAATAGCGAACGTTCCATCTCTTCAGTGTAAACAAACTAAATGAATACCTGTAATGTTTATCAAGAGACATTGTATCGTCTCATACGAGATATATTCACGACTATATCAAGCACATATATCAGATCATTTCAAATAATACTTTTTCCAAACTTCTTTAGCTAATAACTTTTTAATGAATAATGAGCGACGCATAAAACCATTTGATTGTTACTTAGCCATTATGCTTGATAATATGTGTCAAGGTCAAGCCCATCGGAGGTGGAGTTTTCTATATATTTACTATTCTGCATACAGTTAGTCTTACGTACAAATAGTTCAGTTAAAATTCCTGCAGAAAAATTCGCGCATGAACCGATGCGGAACGCGATTCGCGTTCCGCCATTGTCCTTGATAACATATGTCAAGGTCAAGCTCATCGGAGGTGGAGTTTTCTATATATTTACCAATTCTGCATACAGTTAGTTCTATGTACAAATAGTTCAGTTAAAATTTCTGCAGAAAAATTCGCGTATGAATTGACGCGGAACGCGATTTGCGGTATTCTGAGATTTAATGTGCGCCGAGGAGAGGATCTATTTGCAGGCCAATTAAATACCATCCGCTCTCCCCTGCGTTGCGTCGGCCGCAACGCTGCGGCTTGGGAGGGAATTTAATTTCGGCGGAGTTTGCGGATGCTTGTACCGATATGTTTTATCGCTTTTATCTTGGTAGCCGAGTTAGCATTCTGTTGGTACTTCTCGCGCGCCGTCCGATACATCTCCTACCGAAAAAGCCGCTTAAAATAATTTGCTTAACTAATGGGATTTCGCGCGTGGGTTACGCGCGCTACGGAATGGAGATAAGGACGGGAGCAGCGTTTTCGCCACATACCGTAACTATTTTCGCGCCGGTCGCCGTTGCGTAGATCAACGGGCGAAACAATCCGGCGCTTGTTGTTAGGAAAGCGCTGTCGCGAACGATCCTATTTCGCGATTAAACCCTAGCCACGCTTCTCCTATCCACTCGCCGTCCTTCACAGGTCAACGTGCATCCTGACCCGGAGGGTAGGTAAAAATGTCCGGCCGTTGTCGTGGCCGCAGACCGGCGAGGGCACAATATGGCGTCGCTGGGGTAAAACCATTCGGCATGTCGATGGGGTTTGTGCAAGCTATCCTTTTGTCGTGCGTCGACCGCATCGTTACGCTCGTCAATGCGAGCGTTTGGAAAATAGGATCATAGAAAGAGCAAAGAGATTGATAGAGAGAGACAGTGGTGTGCAGGTTGGCGTGGCGGGAAGAGGAGGAGGAGAAGGAGGAGGACGCAACGGCCCTCGAAATTCACCATGCGGCTCTCGGAGCGTAAAATGTCACGTGGTTTGGCGCCGTTTAATCTCGGGTCTGATTTAACCACTGTTTCGTGCGTACACCGGGCTCATAAACGATGAGCCGGCGGATCGGAAATAGCGGGATGGAGCGGACATACAGAGGGCGGAAGAGAGAAGAGGCGCGCGGCGCTCGAGCGTTCCAAATTTGTTCGAATGGACCGATAAGTACTGGCCTGTCGCAAATTCTCGCAACAATAATGCGAGCGCATTCGAGCTTTCTTCTTGTCGATTAGCTGAATTCACCCTATGGAGAGGAATACAGTGTGGGAGAGACAAAGAGAGAAAGAAAGAGAGGGAGAGGGGGAGAGAGAGAGAGAGAGAGAGGGGGAGAGAGAGAGAGAGAGAGAGAGAGAGGGAGAGAGAGAGAGAGAGAGAGAGAGAGAGGCGGCGACGGTATGTGACCTTAAGCGTTTTTTCGTTTTGTAACCACGGTAGCGTTTGGTTGGTTAGTTTGATCCATTTAACGCTCGCAACGCCACGAGCGTCATTCTATCTTTGTTGCTCGAGGCGTTGCGAGCGTTAAGTGGACCAAACCAACCAACCAAACGGTATCGTGGTCACGAAACGAAAAAACGCCTCTGGCGCGATGCCATCGGATAACGCGCAGAATATTTTGCATCGATAGCGGCATCTGTGTAAATGATTATTGGACTGAAAAGTTAGGGATTATGCGTGAGATACGCAGAGTCGCTCGTCGAGAAAGCGCACTGTCGTTGCCGTAGTCGTACACTGAAAGAAATCTCTTAGTTATCAGAACAAAAGCATGTTTACTGTTTAATGACAGTAAACAAATTGATAGAGCGCGCGCAGATTGGCAACAAATCTGATCAGAATCTCACACCAAAACCATAGCCATCTGTGTTCGCATTCAGCTCGTGTTTTGACGTTAGAGTTCGCTGAAGGGCAATGTGAGCAGATTGGCAGCAGAAAATTCTGCTTGGTTTTTGTCAATCTACTTGAATTCTCTCTCAGCAGGTTTTGTTACATTTTTGGCATTTTGGCAATATAATCAGACATAACAAATCCTGTGTTGGATTTGCTGCCTTTCTGCCATTAACAATTTATAACAGGCTCTGTTCAAAATCTATTTGCGCAGGTTTAATTATCTGGACGTTAGGAAAACAGATTGAATAATTGTAATTGGTAATTACTATTTCGCAAATCATTTCTCATCATTTCAACAAACATACACATTGCCTGAGATACATATAATATTTCTTCTCGTTCAATAAGTTAGTGTTAGTTATGTCTCCATTGCAGAAGTGTTGTTTAGAAATTGAAAGTAACAAATCATTTGTTCTTAATATAGAGTCATTTGCTATTCCATATCAATTGTAACCATTTGTTATAGATATTGGTATTTTGTTAAATTAGCAAAGTTTTTTCTCTTAGTGACATCTTATTGAGAAAACGCCTCAGACTGTCAGTGTATGTTGTGTCTCTTATAAAAATTTTCCAAAATTTTTCCAGATACAATATAGATTGTAATTAGAATGCTTAAATTTGTTCTAAAATTAATTGATTGATCTCGCTACGATATCAATTAGTTTGTCAAACACAGTGTCATTGCAAGCAGATGGAGAATATTAATTCTGTCGCCACAAACGCAGAGATTTGGCACAGCGTATAAAGAATTTGCGCATTACAAATTTTTTAATGAGATCTTACTTTTACTAATCGAAATCATTAAGATATAAAATGGAACAATAAAGTTGGGAGTGTTTCCATTAAAAATCAGTGACTATTCAGTGGTTATCAGTGAACTATTCCTTTCACTGATTCAATCAGAAACCTCTTTACTGAGTCACTTTAAAACAGCGGGATGTTTGAATTCGACAATTCGCGAACGTGATTCTTTCTGTTCTCAACAAACAACACTTTTTTCAACAATGTTTTCAACAACACTTCCATTTTGTTGTGTTATAATATAGTTTTTTCGAGGTGGCACGCGGGGATCACACAGGAAGCCTGTAACGAAGTACACAAAAGTCAGCGCGTCGTCGCTGCAGAATAAACCAATCGTTTGATGTTACTATAAACACGCGGTGACTGCATATAAAGACTAGTTTGTCGGGTTGAAATTTGCTTCGCTGACGATCCGACTGGATCATTAGTAATTTATGTGTACTGCAACGGCAGTCTCCAAATGAAGGGTTCAAAGGGACGCGTATTTTTAGGTGCATCGTGTACTCTCCCGTCGATTCATACCGCTTAATCGCACACGCGCTCGACATATATCGACAAGCGGTGAGAAAAATGACGTCAACGCGCCGGCGATTATCCTCCTCGCGCGATTACCGACGGAGATAATTAATTTCGACGGACCATGGAACTTTATTCATCTCGGTGACGTACCGAGGACCGATACGCCGCCACCGTTGACGGTGGCATACGCTCGGATAACCTAGTAATTATCCGGAATAATTGGACGCGCTTCGGAAGCTGGATAATTCTCGCGAGCACGCGAAGGGGATTCGGCGGCCCGAGCCGGCAACTTTCCACGCAGACGGCGTTCACGGCCATGTTTCTTCGTGCCGCACTGTAATAACGCGCGATTTCTCTCGTGAAAGGGCAGAGAGGGTGCGGTAGATCGGGCACGAGAGAAAGAGAGAGAGAGAGAGAGGGAGAGAGCAAGAGAGACTGTAGTGCCCGAGCCCTTCCATCTTTTCTGTTTTCCGCGTCGATGCTCGCGAGCAGCCCGAGTATGAGCATCACCCACAAAGGAAGTCCATCGCACGGGATCGTAAGAATGGAGTGTGTACGTACGAAAGAGCAGAGGGAAACATTCGTGATATATGTCACGCGGGCAATCGGCCTGTCGTTTCGGCTTTGCAAGCGCTTAAGGCTGTCGGCGGAGTCGATGTGCCCTGCCAACTGCAACCCCGAAGTTCAATGTGGCGTGAGAGGACAAAAAGCGATCGTAGAAATCAATTTATATCGGTCGTTGGCGGAAAATACGAGTTGACAACACATCCACACAGAGTTGATAAGTGGCGTATTGCAACGCCGTTACCGTTGCACAAGGCACTTCTTTTTTTTTTTTTAATGACTTTGTAACGACGTTATCTTCTTTTTCTTTTTCTGTGTTAACGCAATCGCATTCTTGCGTGACTTTGACGAATGTAATTGTTGCTTTCATCGTTATTTTACACATGCAAGATATACATGTACGCGAGATAGACGAAACCGAATCGTAAAAAGGAATTTTGAAATGGGAAATTTTTTTAGTTATTTTAAGTCTTGATTCTAGGATAAAATGAATTTTTCCAAAGGAATGGAAATAATATGTAATGAAGAAGAATTATAGGAAACCCAAACATCCATTGGATGTCGGAACACCTCTTTTAAAGAGAGAGAGAGAAAATAAATAAAAAATCTGATTAAAAAATCTATTTAGCCACTAGACATCCGTGATACAGAAATTCTGAGATAAGAAAACTGTCTAAAGATTATAAAGTACTCCTGATATAGAGAAAAAGAAAAATCATGGAAAAAAAATAATTTTTTCATTTATGCTATTTAGTCACTGTCTAGTGCAGGCTACATATTTACAAATAATTTTTTTGTATCTAGCTACTAGTTAATTTTTCTAATACAGCTACTAGGAAAAGTGAGCGTTACATTCCTAGCTAGTATCTAGCTAGTATTACTAACTAGTAGCGATGTAAGACCCAACTTTTTTGTGTCATTACT